ATATATATATATATATATATTTGATATATAACTACACACAATTTAAGTGTTGATTTTGAATGTAATTTAACAACATATTTTGTGTGTCACTATAGCTCATACCAACACTTTTTAACAATATACCAACATATTATATTTTGTATGTAGGTAAAGATACCTTTTAGTGACACGTATTATATCTCTATAAGATATGTGTCATTATATGTGACAATTTTAATTTTTTTGTAGTGAATGAAAAAAATAGTCATGCAAAATCTAAGAGATTTTGATGAGATTGTTGGATAAGTGAATTATAAGTAAATTCTATTAAAAAGTCTCATAAAATTCACCATTCAAAATAATCTATTAAAATATCTATATTTTTGATACCAACAATATATTTTGAGTGAAAAAATCTTAATTGAATACTACTAAATTTTGATACACTCTTAAAAAAATTAAGTTTGTCTTAATTATATATTATTAAATTTTGACGTACTCTTAAATTTTTTTATTATCTTAAATGAATGCCATAAATTTTTTTTAATATATATTTTTTAAATCTTTTAAAATCTTAGTCTAATACACCCTTCTTAATTTTTTTTATTTATTTTTATCTATTTACTTTTTGCTTTTCAAAAGACTCCAAATATTAAAATAGAAAACTTACTTCTTTTTTATGTGCCCTCCCTATTTTGTGCGTTTCATATAGAACGTTAAAAGAAAGATAAGACAATGTTCGATGTTCGATGCTTAATATTAAAAATAATAAATTCCAGTAAAATTTTAAAAATGTTTAAGTATATAAATCATTTCCCTGTCTCATTTAAGTCAAAACCTACGAATTGTAAATATTAGTATGTACAATTTTTTTTAAATGTACCCAAAAAATTATAAATGATAGTAAATTTCACATTTTTCTCTCTCATTCTTAACTATTTAGAAGGTTTTAAGCTTTAAATGGGATTATAATTTACTTTTTTTTATCCTTTCTTATCTGTTTTCCTTCTTTTACGCATTTTAAATTATTTATTTTTTTCTTTCAAAACTAAATTTAAATATTTAAGAATTAAAAAATAAATATTAATAAATCAAATATCACTATTAATAGATAAAAAATATAGAAGAAGAATAAGAGATAAATAAAAAACAAAAAAAATGAAATAAAGAGAAGAGAAAAATTGAAAGAGAGAGAAAAGAAAACATGAGATAAAAAAGAGAAAAGAGAGAGAAGAAAGACGAGAGAAGAGATAAGATGGAAGAGAAAAAAAAATAGAAAGAAAAGATGCAGAAAGAAAAATAAAGACATACAGATTATATGTAAATTTTACAATAGTTTGTTGAATACGGCATGTAAACTATACTAAAATTTCATAAAATTCATCATTTAAAATAATTCTTTAAAATCTTTATCTCTTTTAATATTAACAATTTTTTTAAGTAATTTTTTTAATTAAATTATTAAATTTTGACATATTTATAAAAAAATTATAATTATATCAATTGAATATTACTCTTTTTTTGATGACTTTTTTAAAAAAAGTTTTAAATACTTTTATTAAAAGTTTTTATTAACCCCAAGCGTGTGGTTTAGTAGTAGGGGTTGATCCACGTTTAAACAAGGTCAAGGGTTCGAATCCTGTATGCAGTCGCCTTAAATCTTGGGGTCAATTATCTCACCCTTTGAGGTATCTCCAACCTAGTAAAGAGCAATCATCGGTCCTGCCAGGGACGAAAAAAAAAATATTAAAATTTTTAATTAATTCATATAGAACATTAAAGAAAGATAAGACAATGTTCAATGCTCTATTAATATTAAAAATAATAAGTGTTAAGTATAATTTTTAAAAATGTTTAAGTATATAAATCATTTCCCTCTCTCATTTATTTCAACGCCTACATAGTACATGAAAAATTGTAAATAGTACATTTTATAGTTTTTTTATTCTCTCATTCTTAACTATTTAGAAGACTTCAAGCGTTAAGAATAATATATAATTTATTTATTTTTCGTCATTCCTTATCTGTCTTTCTTCTTTTATGCATTTCAAATTATTCATTTTTCTCCGTCACACATTTTACGCCAAACGTTATAGAAAGGCAAGAAAAATATTTAAGTCTATTAAATAGTAGTATTAAACATAATGAAATTTAAGTGTACTTTTTAATATTTATACTCTCAAAAAGACTTTAACATTGATAGAAACTGATAATTAACTTTTTCTTTGTCGCTTCTTCATCAGTCCTCCTTCTTTTATGCATTTCAAGTACAACGTTATAGAAAACTAATTTCTTTGAATGTATAATAAACATCAAAATGAATAAACCCAATTTTTTTTTTTATGGACATTTAAATGTTACCATTTTATAATTTATCAATTAAATCAAAATTTTATACAAAAAAAATAAATAAAAAAACATCTAGAGAGGCATTGCTTTGTGAAAAAACGGGACCTAGAAACAAAAAGGTCCTTAGGGCGGTTAAGAGGGGCATTTTGGGGTATTGACATTAGTATGTGGTGATTATCCTCATAGTTTAGAAGAGAGCTTAGACACATTTTAATATTAAAACCTTACTTTATGGAAATTAAAATAATAATGCAGAGTGGAGTCCCGACAAGTAAATAGCAGTTTCCCATCCCAGCCTCATTCTCCTCCATTAATGCCAATACAGAGAGAGAGAGAAGTATTAGTATTCATATTCATATTCATATTCATATTCATATTCATAATCATATTCACATTCACATTCACAATTTCTTTGTAGCAAAGATTAAAAAGAGAAAAAGCCTACACTACACCCTCTCTATTCCTTCTACTTCTGGCGCCATTTGCAGACTCTACCTCGTTCAAACTCCACCCTTTTTCCTCTCCTTCCATTTCTGGAAACACCCTCATGGAACCCACTCTCGGCAGCACCGTTTCTGCACCCTCCCTCACACCCTCGGTTCCCCAGACATTGAACATGAACGTCAACATGAACGTGGGGAGCACCGAAACGACAACAACGGTGGTGCCACCTGCGCCTGCGCCTGTGCCTGTGCCAGCCACAACAACAACAACGGCAGCAGCAGTGACACCAACAACATTGGCGCAAGGGAGTTTGGATTTGTTTGGGAAGAAGAAGAGAGGGAGGCCGAGGAAGTACGACGCAGATGGGAACCTGAGGGTGAGTGCAACGCCGCAACCACCACCACCGCCGGGTTTCACTTTATCGACACCACCTGAGTTTTCTTCCAAAAGGGGTCGTGGCAAACACGCCGCGTTTGGAACCTACCAACCCTTTTCTTCTTTTGGTGAGTACTGCTACCGTACAACGCAATACGATACAACGTTGGTTGGTTGATTCTCTCAGGTGTTGTGATGTGGTGTTCTGTGCTGACCTCACTCATTGTACTACTACTGTTTTCTTCCAAGTTGACTTACCCGCCAAACCAAAATCCCTGTTCCTCGCTCAAGTTTTTTATTTTTTTACCCTTTTGTTTCTTAACCAGCTTGCCCAAATCGTTGAATCTCAAATCCTCGTGCTTTTGTAGCTCCACTGTCTCTGGGTTTGTGCTTGCTTCAGGTTTTTTTTTTTTTTTTGGGTTTCATGGGGTTGGGATCGAGATTTGAGCTCCATTTGTTAAAGGGGTGCCTTGGTTGATACAAAAGATATGCTTTTCTTTTTATTTTTTTCTTTCTGGTAATGGCCGAACAGCGTGTTAGGGATCGTGATCGGTTAAAAAAATGTGAACTTTCCTTTTTGTGGCTAAATCTAAGGTTGGTGAGTGTGTGTGTGCGCATTTGCTTGATTTTTATGGCTAGAAAAAATTGTTCTTTGATTGTTTGGATCGATTGACGTAAAATTGTTTCAGCTTAATTAGTAGTTTTGAATTTGAGTTCTGAGCATGCAAGAAGAGAAAGTAATTCTTCCTGGCTGACGGAGAAGGAGGATTGTTGTCTCATACAACAAAAAAATGTTTTGTTTTGTTTTATTTATTATTTTTTTTTCTGGGGTTTACTTACATGGGGCTTGTAATTTTGGTGGTGAAAATTAGTTAAACTGGGGTGTGGTGTTTCTCAATTTATGGAAAATTTGTTGATTGTTTCTCTGTCTGTGTTGTTTGCAGGTGAGGTGTTTGCAAACACTGCTGTTGGGGATTTTATACCGCATGTGGTGACTGTTTATACTGGAGAGGTAATGTAGAAGCCGTGTGCATTCTTGGCCTTTTGCAAATTTATGTAACAGTGTAGATTTTGGGCGTAATTTCTTGAGCTGTTTTGACAGATCTTTTGCGATTGGTGATTTGATTTGGATAAGAATTTTTATTACTTTATTACTTTGCAGGATGTTGCTGGGAAGATCATGTCCCTTGTGCAGAAGGGTCCAAGAGGAATATGCATTCTCTCTGCCAATGGGGCTATCTCAAATGTGACCATTCGCCAACCCGGTTCTTCTGGTGGCATATTGACATACGAGGCACGGTCTCTTAGATCTCAATGCTTTTTGAGTAAAATATTATTTTATCTATTATTTTCCCTTGAGTGTTTTGATTGGATTTCCATTTCCCTGATATTATGATGTCTTTGATTGAATTTGAATCATTCCTGAAATAATTTGATGGGCTAGCTTATTTATGTCTTCTGCCATGTATAGAACGTGGAAGCCATATAGGACAGCATTAGGTGCATTTATGTCAGGTGATCTCTGTTTGTCTCTTGCTGTGTGGGGTTGGACATAGTGTCTCCCTTTTCTATTGGCAATTTGCTCAAAATTGGTATATTGGAATTGGATATATGCTAAAAAATGGTTCATCTTATCATTCCATCAGTTCTAGTGTCGGATCTAACACTGGGAAATGGGAAATAAGTTAGAGAAGTTAGAAACATACACTTCTAGCGGTGTCCTCTTTAGTGATGTTTTTAACTTTTTTAAAAATCTGATGAAACCTTTCAACTAATATCAAAGTCGCTATTTTGTTGGTTGTCTTGATCCAGAGGCTGAGTTTCAGTCATTGGAGGAGACATAGGCGATTGGATAAACTTCTCAACAAGCACTTGAGAAGAAAAAAAGGGGTAAAATGAATCAAATTATCTTATAAATTAAAATCAACTTATAAGAGAAGTTAAATAAGGAAGTCTCTAGAACAATAAATTGATTTTATCTTGTGGAAAATTTGTGATTTATTTTCTTTTTATATGAGCACATATTGAAAACTATTTCTAAACTAAGTCATAATTTCCTAAACAAAAATTTGCTACTGATGTAGCGTTTTTATAGCCAGTGGTTATAACAATATGATAAGCGACAACTACAAGGTTCTAGAGTTCAAGTTGAGCTTTCCTTGTCTTGCAACAGGAAATGCATAACGACAATGCATAGATTTAGTACACGATGATGATGTGAATCGTTTATTTGATGCATTATTTATCTGGCTATACATATTTTTATATTAAATAGTTGAAAATTATTAACTTGGTTTTCTGTCTGAGGTCAATCTCACCTGTCATTTTCTGCTGTTTTGCAATTTCTCCTGTTATGGCGTAACTCTTGTTTCATACATGCAACTATGCTTAATTGATTTTGGAAATTCTTCAATTATTTAGTCCACCTTTTACTTTCAGGGTCGGTTTGAGATTTTATCTTTGTCTGGATCATTCACTCTCACTGACAGCACTGGCATAAGAAGTCGAACTGGTGGATTGAGTGTCTCACTTGCTGGCCCTGATGGTCGGGTGATAGGAGGTGGTGTTGCTGGACTTTTAACTGCTGCTGGCCCCATCCAAGTAAGATATTGTCTCGATTGCTTTCTAAAAGATTTTGCTTGTAAGAATGGGTTTGGTATGTCAAATGTGGTACTGATGAAACTGATCATGGATTTTTAACCTTATTTTGTTATCTTATATAGTCCAAACTGGCCCTAAACTAATTTTGTCTCGTCTGTTTTGAATTGCAATTACTGTAGTGAGATTGAAATTATAACTTGCATCAGCTATCTCAAATCATAGAGAGAGCATATTATCAAACTGCATCTATGAAATATTTTGCAAATGATAGCATTCAAAAGATTATTAGAATACATGTGGGGAGAATTTTCTCCATTTTTTTTCTTCTTATTTCTATACATCTAAACGACACATGACTAATTACCTTCTGTTTCTATCATTCTTATTTCTTTTCTCTCTATTTCGCTCTTGTCCCAAACAAAGCATAAAAGGAAGGAATTGCCTTTATATATTGTTATATGATTATGTAAGGCTTCCCTTCTAGGTTGCATTACCAAGATCTTTGAACTTGTACTGTTTACATTTGAATGCATGAAATAAAGATGAAAGTCACTAGATTGATATATAACACATTTTGGTCCTCTATATTTTTCACAAAGGAGGGTTTTCACTTTTCACCTTTCAGCACTATGAAGAGTGCATCGTGGTTTTATTATGACCCCTTCATTTACTTATATTGGGAATTTATTTGCAATGGTTTCAGATTGTGGTAGGAAGCTTCATGCAAAATGGTTACAAGGCCCAAAAGAGGAAGTATCAACATCGTGAGCAGGCATTGGCCTCCCCTACTTCACCTGTTCCAGACATAGTAGTGACAGCAGCAAGACCTATCTCACAAGCACATGCTGATGGTGAAAACTTTCTGATGCATATGTCTCAGATACCAGACCAAAACCAGAGAGAATCTGTCAGTGTTACAAGTGACAAACAGAACCTTGATGCTACACCTGATGCTACTGCTACTTGGAATGGCTCTGAGGACTATGATGATCAGAGGACATCTCCAGACATCAACATAACCTTGCCAGATGAATAGAATGTTATGGTACTGTCTTGTCTTGTGTTATGAAATATCGATACTTCAATTGACTTCATATATTCGCATCCGATATCAATACTCTCAAGTTCTTTACCCATATGTATCAGCGAAGTATCCAAGCCTTTAAAAAATCATGAAAATTTTATCCAATCTCGATACTCTTGCATTTGTATTGGTGAATTATCCAAATCCTTACAAAATTATGAATATTACAGCTAAATAAGACAAACATGTTAAATATAGAAACATAGAAGCATCGTTTCTTGATAAACTAAAAATATAAATTGTGTTCTATATGGATGATTTTAAGAAAAAAAATAAGATTGATAGTCTTATTTCTATTTGAAAATAATAGGAAGTAATTTACTAATTTATGATAAAATGATTTATAATTTATTTGTTTTTAATAATGTACAAGAAATATATTTTTAATTTAGATTTGCAAAATTGTAATTATATATTTATTATGTTTATAAATTTTGATCAAAATTATATTTACATGTTTATTATATTTTATGATTATTGATATAGATGAAAACATATACCTATCTTATATAATTTAAAATAATCGCATTGTTGTATCAGATATGTGTATGGTATGTGTCCATCATAGGTCTTGTGATATCACGTTTCACTTTCAGGTCAATAATCTTTCATCATGTTCTAACTTTTTGTTTCTTCTTCTGTTTTCAGGTGATGCAGAGGCTGACATGGTAGCTGAGTGAAACTAACACCGGGAACTTTGTCATGACAACTAGGTTATATGACATGATGTACAGTTGTCAGAAATTAGAAAGGATTATTAAGGCCTCAATATTTTTTTTTTTATCTTATAGTTTCTGTTGAACATTTAAAGTTTTCTCTTTCTTTTCTTCTTAAGAAATGATCAAAGACTTTGTAGGCTATTATTCTGTTGGGATTGTTTCGGTATAATTCTTGTATTTTTTAACTTGTGCACATTTGCGATGCTGCTTCTTTTAAGAGTTTTTCGCCGTATCATGGATCTTAGATCTATATACATAAAAGTTTCTTATGGTACGTTCCTTAAAACTGGTATAAACCATAGGGATAACATTTATATTTGTAGGAGGAGCTAGGTGGTTGATGCTGGATAGGCTTAGGCTTTTGATTTAATTGGATTGGCCAAAATTGATGTATTTATTACTTTCCTATATTTGTTTGTGCATTTTGGGCCTAGTATTATGCTGCTTTCATATTTTTGTTTGTGCTATTTTGGCCAAGTATCGTATCTTAACAACCACTCTGGAAAAAAGTGTTTGAAACGTTATAACGGATATAGGCTAGGATTGTCCTATCCATGTTCTAGAATTTATTTAAACTTCATTGAATTTTCAAGAGGTACAATTGAAAAGTTTTATGAATATTCATTAGAGTTTTATATCTTAATTTGATGATTGAATATACACGAATTGTGACTTCCTTTCTTGCTTATGTTCGATCCACCATGCATGATAGTAAAGTTGTCATGTTGGGCTGGGTTGGAAGTGCTGGATCGTCATCAGCAAATTCTTGGGTTGGGCTCATTTTTGGGTCTACTAACATTTTGATAATCGAGTTTAGATGTCCAGCTTCTATTTAGAAACCTCAACTCCATTTTAACATTTTGTTTTATAATTAATATCTCTATCTAATAGCTCATATAATAAAATAAAATATGCATTCTTAATAATAATAATATTATTACTATATTTATTTGTTTAAACTTAAAAACAAAGTGTTTCGAAAAAAGTTTTTTTAAATAATAATGTTTTAAGAAATAGATAAGTGTTGCTTTAAAAAAAAGGTAGAAAACTATTTATTTTAAGAAAAGAAGTTTAGACAAACACATAAAAAAGTGCTTATTTTATTTTAAAAAAATACTTTGACTTAAATATGTTTTTAGTTCCTATAAAATTGATGATTTTGATTTTGGTTCCTTTAATTTTTTTAGGGTTATTTTTCATCCTTATAAAATTTATAAACATTATTTTTTATCTTTATAAAATGAGTAAGTTTTAATTTTGGTCCATGTAAAATATTTTTCTTTGGTATTCATATCTCTAAAATCTAAAATAAATATTTTTAGTCTCTAATGGTCATTTTAAGGTGAATAAATAATATTTATTTCAAGAACCTATGTATTTTTTTAGAAGCGTTAAATATTGATATGATATCAATAATCGTTGTAGGTAAAATTTAAGATGATTACTTAACTTTTTGATAAATAAAAAATAGTTAAAAAATATCACATAAAAATAGGGACTAAAAATAATAATTTTAATTTTATAAGGATTAAAAATAAAATAAAAAATTTACAGGGACTAAAATCAAAACTTCCTAATTTTATAGGGACTAAAAACATATTTAAGCTAAATACTTTTATGAATTTTTTTTTAAACAAACAAACCCAATATCTCTTATTATATTGACTAAATTATACTTTTGGTCTTTCTATTTTCATCAATGTGACATTTTTTGATCCCATTATTTTAAAATAAAGACATTTAGTCACTCTAACTTAAAAATACAAAATTTTGATCATCTTGTTAAATTGACATTTATTAATCCTTAAGTTATAACATTTATTCATACTTAAGTGATGTGATATTTAGCAAGTGACATTTGGAGATAAAAAAGTATGCAAATAAAATTTATTAATAAAATTAATAAATATAAATCACTCATTAAAATAAATACAAACGAAGATCTATCGAATGTTATATTTTCATTTTTATCCCTATATGTCATGTCACTAAATATGACATCACTTAAGTTGTGACAGTTCATCAAATAATGTCAAAATTTAAAAATTAGAACATTAAATTGATAATAGGATCATCGTATTTTTAAAAATAAGAAGATTAAATGTCTCTATTTTAAAATAGGAGAACCAAAATTTCATATCGACAAAAAATAGAGGGAAAAAAAATATAATTTAGCTAATTATATTTTATTTTTCCTTAAAACATAATTTTAAGTTTGATATAGGGGATAGGATCCATATGCTCTTTAATTAACTTTTTTTCCTAATAATTTTATTTAGTTTGTATGGTTAAAAACTTTTCATTTTTTTCCCTATAAATTTCGTTTTTTTTTCTTCTTTTTAGACTTTATAGTTTCATAAATTTAATATTTTAGTTTCTATAGAAATAGATGATAAGGACAAAAATGGTATATATAAGGAATAAAGTGAAACTTTTTTAATTATATATATTAAAAGGTAAAGTTTACAAAACTACAAGAACCATAATTAAACTGGTAACTTTGTTGTTATTTAAGGATACATATATTTATTTAAATTTAAATTTAAATTTTATAAAAAAATTTAAACATAATTTTTGTCTCATTTTTTCACTTTTAGTCCCTATAAATGTTTTTGTTATTATTTAATCTCCAGCCTTTTTATAATATTTTAAAAATAGTCTTTGCCATCAACTTTTGTTAAAAAGAATTTCATGTGACAAACAAAATATATATTATATTTGTTATATGTCACTTTGCTATTGACACATAGGTAAATTGATTTTAATTTTTTTAGACAAGATTTTGAGATACATTTCATTGTTGTCACTTCATCATACTCTTTATGCATACCTTATCCGGGCTTAGAACACCATGTCCTGGCTGTCATCAATGGCGGAGTTAGACCACCAATTTTCCTTCTTCGACGAGGCATCTCGCTCAATGTCGTGACGATAACGGCCACGATAGGTGGCGATGAACTTGAGGTCCTTAGTCAAATGATGTAGTTCTTCTCTTTGGAGGAGGTGGTATTGCCAATGACGAAGTGGTGGACGCTTTGGCGAAGCATGAGCTCCTACAGGATGGAGGAGTAGCCAAGCATAAGGTCAAATTCCTCTATGGTGAAGTGGCGGTCATTAACAACCTCACAAAGGTATTGGTCATTTAGAATGAAATTTGTAATACTCGTTTATGATTTTATTATTTATTTAATTTTATTAATTTAAAAATTTATTTTGATGTTTTGTTTTAATGTTTTAAAAACTCTAAAGATTAAGGAATTTTTATGAGTTTATTTTTTTGGGAGTTGTTTTGTGTTAAGGTCAAAGTTGACCAAGTTTAAGGGAAAGTATATAAGATTTTTTAAGACTTGAACTTCATAAATTTATTTTCTTAAGAAACTTATAGAGAAGTTAGAGAGATAAACTTTAAAACTAGAAATATTTTTTTCTCCTTTTGTTGACTTCACAAGAGCGCTTGGATCCTTCCTTAGAGTAGTTGTGGTGTATTTGAGTTGAGATTTAAAGCCTAGAGTGTTGAGGATCAAGAATTAGGATCGTGGTGCAGCGATAACTTAGAGTAGCATTCTTCATCATTTTTTTCCTTCTTTTTCTTTTCTCGGAGATTTGAGGTAAGAGAAACTTGTAGATCAATTGTATTGGTGATGTAAGTATTGATTATTACTTGAATTCATCAATTTAGTATATATATGTTGAATTAAGAAGTAAATCATGTTATATATGGGCTCTTGGTTGTTGGAGAAACAAATAGGTGATTTTTGCAATGTCTTAATTTTTAGATACAAAATTCTCAATTTTATTATTATACTCTTTTTAAAATAGTAGTCTAAATTTTTAGTTATCATATAATATATATATATATATATATATATATAT